TGAGAAAGACTGGCCCATATCCCTGGTCCCTCATCATCCTAATACATACACAGTGTCCTGCAAACAACTGTGTCTCTTGTCCTGAGTACTTTTGTCAGCAGCCATGCAGCAGCTGGTAGTGCAGCCAGATACATCACTCAGTGGCTGAGTTAGAAGGGAAACACCTTTCTTGCCTTCCTCATGGATAGGATACTTCTGGAGCACATGCTATACAGTATTCCAGGGTTCCCTGTGGATCTGAGTGTCACAGGCTCACAATGGTGATCTACTCAATTACACACTCCCAATGGCTTCTTTCTCTTCCCTGTGTCAACATTACTCCCTCCTCCACTGAATGTACTTCCTGGGACTACCTACTAAATAAACTGTTTGCACTCAAATTCTTATCTTGGGATATACTTCCAGGGAATTCCAACCTCAGTCATTTGCTTTTCAATGGGGATACTGCAGGATAGTTTTAGGACACTTTATATAAAGGTGTCTGTTCCTTTACCCATAGGCAACGGGCTTTGCCCTACAGTGGCTGCTCTGGTCTTATATATACTGCTCAGATTCTGAGAGAAGCAGTCTTGACCTATTAGGAATGAAAGAATGCTTCTTGCCATCTAACACTGGGGTGTCACTTTCTGTCTGATGCCTCTCCTACAGTAGGGCTATTCCTGGTTACAGTTCAGTCACCTCTGCTGACAAGTTAAAATTCACGGCTAAAGCTACTGCATGGCTCGTCCCTGCACAGAAGGCATACATCTGTTTTTGATGACTATTCAGGCTTTCTCTCTTCAAGTTCTTCTTCAGTTGAGCTTTAAAGTATTTCTTCTGCTTGGACAAGGTTGGATGCTCCTTTCTGGGCAGTTTAGAAACGGGCACTCTGCTTGCCATGGTTGACCTGATTCAACTGGAATCTTACAGCACCAAGGGAGACTATTTCATTTCCTCCTGTGGTTAGGTTAAATAGTAGTACATAGAGCTGGGGCTGTAGCTCAGTGGCAGAGTGTTTGCCTAGCATGTGTGAGGCACTGGGTTTGATCCTCAGCACCACATAAAAATAAAAATAAAATAAAGGCATTTTGTCCTCTACAACTACAATTTAAAAAAAAAAATGTAGTCCCTAAAGTTGTTTTTATCACAATGGGAATTTCTCCTGACTTTGAAAAGCACTGCCTTCATACTACCTTGAAGACATTGTGGCAAGGTGGCTAATAGCACAAGTGTTCTGGATTTGAATTTTGGCTCTGTTTAACTATGTAGCCTTGGGCAAGTTAACTAACCTTTCTGAGCCTTATAAAATAGGAATAATAATAGCATCTATTTTCAGGATTATTGAAAGGGTTAGAATTGGGCTGGGTTTGTGGCTTAGTGGTAGAGCACTTGTCTCACACACAAGGCACTAGGTTCAATCCTCAGCATCAGATAAAAATAAATAAATAAATAAAGATGCGAAAGGGTTAGAATTGATGCACATAAAATGTGAATGTAGCACTTAACACACAGAAAAAGTCACTACCTGTTGTAGAAGTAACAACCTACACAGCCATTCTCCCCATGATCCTTGCAGGTAGGGTTACAACAATGGAGGGGACACTCCCCAAGCAGACTTTAGTCCTGTGATGAGATTCCCTGAACTTGCAGTGATCTCCAGCCCTGGCAGAGTATTATCAGTTCACTTCTGTTTCTAATAGAATATATGTCACAGGACAATAGAAAATTTATACTCTCACTCAAAAATGCCATGACTACATACGTTTTGATGTTTTTATATATATATTCTCTAATCACAGCTCATACCAAAACACTCAGCAATCAGAAGAACATGTCGAAGAACATGCCTACGGATAAACAGAATTAGAGTTTACCCCAAAATAAAAAATAACAATATGTAATAGAGAGGAGGATTATTAAATTATAGTAAAATTTGTGAGAATTCAAATGAGGCCTTGACTTTGTCTTTTCACTATCTACTTTTTTAAGTTTCTAACTAAATTAAGAGTGGACAAAGAGGAATGAAGGGAAGGGAGGGGGGATGGGAATAGGAAAAAGACAGTGGGATGAATTGGACATAACTTTCCTATGTTCATATAGGAATACATGACCAGTGTAACTTCACATCATGTACAACCACAAAAATGGGAAGTTATACTGCATGTATGTATGATATGTCAAAATACATTCTTCTGTCATGTAGAACTAAAAAAAGCAAATAAACATTTTTTATAAAAGAATGCAAATAAACTTGGGGGATGATAACCAGTTATTCATCCTTTTAAGAGAATATGTGACTCTGAAGAGCAGCCACTGGATGCATGCAAACAATGGATGTCTTACAACAAAACTGAGCCAGAGTTTTACATTTAAAAAATTGACAACCACTACTTGATGATTTTCTTCTTGGCATGCAAGTCATTGCTTTTTGCTAAATTTTTAAAACTATCTTTTTATGATTCAGAATCATCACTAATTTGATACAGCCTCCCCTCTTATTAGTGCTTTCCCCTGCAACAACCACCCCAAATCCAGGCCCTTGGTTAATTCCTCATGTTCACATTGTCCCTGATTTCCTCAGCTCCATACACTCATTCCCCAGGTTCATACTACTTTGTACTGCTAGCCTCATCTTCCTGCAGCTTCAGTCCTATAATAGAACCACTGTACTCACAAGTCTTTCCATCATCTGCCCCAACACACACTCTTAYAATGATAATTCTAGGAGTAAATCTCAATTCCTGAGCCTGGGGCATTAGTTCCAGGTACCAAGTCTCAAGATTTATCTGTCCATTATCTCTACAAGCTCTTTAGATTTCAGGCAGACTGGACAACTACCCTCTGGTCTTTCCTATTTCTACTCCTTTATTTAAAACATCTCCTACTCCTAGAGTATCTACACACCTCCACTGATCGTTATTCTACTCATCCTTCAATGCTTGCTCAAGCACCAACCCCTCCACCAAGGCTTGGGTTACTCACTGTAAAAGAAGCAGTCCCACCTTTCTTCATGTTGCTCATGCCTGTTCCCTGTAATTGTCACTTATCATACACTATCCTGTGCCTTAGAAAGAGTACTGCTTTGTAAGAAAGCACCTTGAGAGCAAGAGTTGTGACATTTATAGAGGGACCTACTGTGGCTTCTCAAACATAACAGTTGCTCAACAACTATATACTGAATTCAGTCAGTGAGACTGTATGTGCACTAGGTAAGTCCTTGGAGACCAGAGACACTAGGCTCAGAGGCTAATTCATATGACTACTAAAAGAAAAAGAACTTGGATTTCCAACAAAAATACAACATTACTCATATTATAAAGAATCTGGGAATTAGTGTATAATAAGGATTAACTAAGTCATGATTTTTTTTGCAATGTATTTACCTTTTAATTGACTGAACATCAGTAGAAAATTGAAAAAGGCAAAATGTTACCTAATTGATTCTTACAAATAGTCAAAGATTTAATAATCAAAGATGACAATTTTCAATCAAAAGGGAAAAACTTCATTCTAGTTATTAAACATTTTACAGTGTTGTCAGCACTGTGTCTCTTGTTTCTGTTTAAATATAACTTAAAAGAAGACTCCATAACTTTGTGCAAGGTAGTGCAAATAGAAAAAAAGTCTCCCACATTACTTAAGTACCATTGACACTGCCATACTAAGAATGTGTCTATCAGAAATGGCATAGAAAGAACATGCTAGTTTGTAGATTAAAAACATGTCAATTATTTCATGACTGAATGTCAAACAGGAAAACTGGCTGAATGGTTTAGAAGTCTATCACATCATACCACATTTGGCCTACATCTAATGGCATATAAATCATTTATCATTAAAGGCCTTTTTATATAGGTCAAGGTTGCTGGAGCTTGGTGTTTTGTATCTTACAGTTTAAAGAATGCTCTAAATTCTAGGTTTTTTAACTTTTTAATCTATGGGGAAGAAAAACTAAAACTTCCTATAAACTCAGATTAATGCCTGCTAATGCACGGAAGAAAGAAAAACTAAAACCTTCCTCCTACTATAAAAACAAAATAGTGTGGCCTCTGTTTCTTTTCTGATAAGAGTCTTAAATACCAAACAGTTAACTGCATAATAACATTTACTGGCAGCCAGGCAGCCTGCTTAGCAGATATATAAAGCAGGTAAAAGGAGAAAAAGTTAATTTCTTGGCTGAATGATTCCATCGGTAGCTATAGGGCAAACCTGAAAGTCTTTTAGTAAAGTAGCAGTTGATTCTTCTATCAATCTGTAGCACACATACTCTTCCAAGGAAAGCATTAAATATGAAAATCATATCCCGTTATCATCTGTTTCCAGCTTTCAGCCCAGTAAGCTTTTCTTAATGAATGCTGCAGCCTAAGGAACAAGCACGCTTTTGGCTTTTCTGAATAATGGAGTGATGCTACCATTTTTGCTTATTACAATATCGACTGGCTGAGGGGGTTTCACATATAGTCACAAGTGACTACTCTTGCCAGCATGCTCCAAGTTATTACAAGATGTTTTTAGACATTTCATCTAAAAGAGCTTTACTGCTTTTAGTGAAGAAAACATCTATGGTCTTGAACAGAATCATTTATATGGAGATAGGCAGGAGGATTAGAAGCCTGCATTATGGCAGATACATAGCAGAATTTATTTAAGTATTCCTTGCTGGTCTTTTTGTCTATTGCTTAGATATGCAATCTCTTCTTTCCACTTTCTCTGTGAGAAGGTTAAAATGTACAAAATTATATATAAAGGAAAGAATCAAAATACCACATTTTCATTGAAAACATTTCTCAAACTAAGAAAAAGCAGTTACAAAGCATTATTTAGAAAAACACAATTTTACCTACTAACTCTGAGGTTTTCTTGGAAATCTAAATCTTAACCCCAAAGTGATAGCTTTCAGCCAATTTAATTAAAGTTAGACATTAAAGCAAGAGGAAATAGGTAAAAATCTTTAAATAATCACTTAAAGTTTAACCAAAAAGATGTTTGTTAATAGAAATTTTATCATTTTAATTTGTTACCTTCTGTCTGTCTTCATTTTTCAGTTCACCCTTTATTCCCAGTCTATCTTTTGAGAGTAGCTGCATCTTCTTAAGTTGAGACTCATATTCAATCTAAATATAAACAAATTTGATTTTGTGCTGGATATTATTAACTAGAACTTATTCATATCTTGCAGTCTTAATAACATAAAAGGAATAGTAAATTAGAAAGTAAAAGCTGATGTTATCAAGAAATTCAACTTATCTTAGAAAAATAGACAATTTCAAAAGTAACATATACCAAAAAGTTGAATTCAATAAAACTTTACATACATTTTGAAATAAAACAAGGATTGATGGAGTTTCACTTATTAAAATCTATTTAGGGAATAAAACTTTGATATATTTAACAGCTTGATACTTTCATTATATTATCATGTAAATCTAGTTACTTGGTTATGAAAGTAAAACATTTGACATCAAAGATTTTCTTTGAAAAGTTATATCTTAAAGGGGAAAAAAATCAGTCCAACTGATTTTTATTTACATGACATCTACATTATATCATTCATGGTCCTAACAGTCACAGCCATTGTGTATATTATTTGCTAGACATCAACTTAAAGTAGAAATATACTGCAGTCAGTCATTAGTACCTTAAAAATCAAGTTTGCTCTGGTACTAATAACTACATTAAGAATGTCTGCATCATTACCATACTGTAATAGATTGAAATGATTAAATCATCAAATGACTTTTCTTAAATGCAAGGCATAGAAAAAGCACCTTGATTCAGTACACTAGTAATTAAAGCCTTAAAAAAGTCACTGCTTGTGTTCCATCACAGATAAGTATCAGAACATTTTCTAAATAAAACAGCTGCTCATTGCAATAAAAACATACATAAAAATAAAGTTAAAAAAGAAACACACCTATGAGATAATCAAATTAGAAAGCTATTTCATCAGTTCTCAGTCTGAATGGTAAACAGGCCTAAGCTTTGTTTTGACAAACAAAAAATGCATAGGCAAAAATGGCCAAAACTGATTTCTTTCCCTCAAAATATTTTAAAAGGTATTATATGCTGCCCCCTTTTTAATAATAGGCATTTTTTTCTGTAGCAAAATGTTATTAACATGATGAAGTGCAGTAATAATCTAAATAGATAAAATAGATACCTAATTAAAGTTTTATAAAGCCAGTACAAGTGACAATAAAATAAACCAATAAAAGATAAACAAATAAGGCAATTATGAAAATACAATTTACATTTCTGTGTTTTACATCTACTCCTTTAAATTTATAGATGTTTAGTTTTTAACTTTAAGTGCCTTAAACAGGCATACTTTACAGATTCCAAAGGAAAGTATCTTTAAAAAGGGAGGTTAACTAGRTTACGATATAAACATCTAATTAGAGATTTTTTAAAAATTATTTTTTCTTGTGGCTACAAACATTTCCTTTTGCTCTTTGAGATCAGTGGGCTTTGTACCTGATATTTTCATTATGGGATCATTTAAGTAATACCTTCCAAAGATAGAGCATTTTCTTATGGAAACATGAGTTTTATTTAATTCATTTTGTTGAAGCAAAATAAAAGTGATAACTACATAAAGGCTTCATAAAGAATAGTTAAAAAAAAAAAAATACAGGGTATGGTGGCACGTGCCTGAAATCCCAGCTACCCTAGAAGCTGAGGCAGGATGATCACAAGTTCAAGGCCAACCTGGGCAACTTTAGTGAGATCATCTCAAAATAAAAAATAATAAGAGCTGGGGATGTAGCTCAGTGGGAGAGCATTCCTAGGTTCAACTCCCAGTACCAAGGAAAATAAAAGAGTAAGAAAAGTATCTTAAAGAGTCCAATTTAGATTTTTCTTAATATATCTGAAAATTTTACTGAACTATAGGTTACTCTTTCTAAAGTACTAATGCACAGAAAAACTGTACAATGTATTTTGAAACCAGAGTTGTACTACTGACAAATTGATAAAACAATAACTCTGCAACCACTAAGAGGACAGACACATCACTACCTAAAAGTACTTTGTTCTCTTTTGCCTTTTATTTATTTTTTGCCTTTTGTTTTTATACGTTTATTTTTACTTGGTTATTAACAATAAAATCCACCTTCTGAAAAGCTGGAGAGGGGGGGGTTTCAACTAGGCTCTGCTGGACCATAAGGTTCCCTAGTCCCACTTCGTTCTAATTGCATTATAAACAAAGGATTCTACTACTTTAAAGATTTTTTTTTTAAGTTTGGAAAATAGTGGGTAGATTAATCTTTCTAAGACTTTCCCAGTTAAAAACATCTCATGTGACATCAGAGTACATATGACCTTATTTGCACCTCTATCTCTAATCGTCAGTCTTTCAACATTCCATTCCTAATTTCTTCTCCAATCAGGCCCTCTGTGTTTCTTCTATTTTCACAATACATCAGGGTTTAGAATGTATTCCTGTCCTCTTCCTGCCACATGACCTAAACTTTTCATGGTCAAATTTGTTGCTTCATGGGCTAAACAACCCATGCCCTAGTAGCACTGTCTGATTCCTGTAAGGATAATCCTCTCATCTTTGCCCTTGACCTGGGAAATGAAAGCTATTTTAATAAACCTAAGAGCATTGAATTAGCCCACCTGGTAACTCACTCTTCTCATTACTGTACTGCTTCATGATATTGGCTTGATGCTGCCCACCTAACATTAAAAGGATCTTCCCATTTAGTACCTCACTGCACAATTTATTTTAGCTTAATTACAAAAATCTGTTAACAATAAGCTGTGAACATGGGAAGAGGAGATRAAGGTTCTTGCAGATGTTTCAAATCACTGGAATATATATGTCTCTGTGACCATCCCATTTTCCTTTTTGCTTCCTTCATCTTTCTATATTCTTACTTTCCCTTCTCCATTTTCTTTTGTCACACTGTTGTTTGCCTGATGATGCCACCACTATCTTTTTTTCACAAGCTTCCTTGTTTCACTTGGTCCTTGGGATTGCACAGTAATTCTCAATTATAGAAAAGTGAATAGTTGAATTGAATAGATATTTAAGATCAGCTGGACCTACCTCCTCATATTACAGTTGAAAAAATGCATTTTATTAAGTAAGTTGATTTGATTCTTGGGTGAATACAAAATATGAGACTATAATTCACAGGTTTTTTTTCTTCTCTGCTTCCTTCTAGATGGTGAACTTTTACCAAAGATTTGGGGGAACATTTATTTATTCAATTAATAACTATTAACAGGCAAGACATACTAGTTGATAAAGAATAGGATTTGCTACAGATCTTGTCCTTCAGGAGTCTGAATGTCGTGACCTGCCCACAATGTCTGCCATAATGTTTAGCAGAAATCTGAATGAGCACTCAAGAGAACTGTTCTCAAATTTTATCCCCTTTCAGCACAGATAACTTAATGACAGAATTTTCAAGGAGAATCACAGCTTTTAATAGTGACATATTTTCATGATGTCTCTGCTATTAAGCCCAAATGCTTCCTGGGAAGTATAACATTTGGTATAATCAATTCCACATTAATTCTTTCATAGCTGTTCATGGTCCATAAGAGAAAGAGACAAAAAATATGGTGGAATTAATTTTCAGTCAAGGGGGGGATCTCAATGCTTACTGAGTGCTTACTGCATGCCATCTTCTGGGTCAGACATTTGAGAGCATTGAAATAATAAGACAAGGATCTTGAGGCAAAATGGGAAAGCAGACATGTAAACAATTATAATACCATGAAGGAAGTGCTTACTAATTATGACACAGACTTAAGGCAGGTCAGGCATAAAGGCCTTCTAGTTGAAAAACAGTTATAAGATAATGTGAAAATTTCAAAGAAATCTAAATTGTTCAGCAGGTTTAAAGTACTGAGGATGCATGTGAGTAAGTATGAGTGTGTACATATGTGCATGTTAGAGAGAGTGTGAGAGAAAGCAAGTACACATGAGTACAGGAGATAAAAGATGTATAGAAACAGTGGGAAGATATGGAGGTGAACAAGCTAGAGGACCTCGGGGAGAAGGAGGTGGGGTATTGAGCGTAGGGAGAGGCAAGGAGACAGAAATAGGGAAAAGATGAAAGGAAGAGACAGAAATGGGAATAAGGAGATGGGGACATGTCAGGGAGAAAGGAGGCAGAAAATTGTACACATCTGTATACTCGTGTAAGAGAGAGAAACAAGGAGAGGCAGAAGGAGAGCATGCGCACATGTGTGTTTATATGCAAGACTGAGGATAGATGGGCTGTATGCAGGCAGAGATCAGCATCTAGGGTTTGTCCTAAAAATACTGAAACAGCACTTCAGGCAGGGGAGAAACATAACAAGATGACAACTCTCACCCAGTAAAGGGACCCTTCTTGAATGCCCTGATGTGTCAGCTCCATGCACGTCACTGCTATTGTGAGGGAAGTTATGCAGATGTTTGCAATGCTCTACACCTGTCCCTGGGACCTTTCTGGGTGCTCCCAAGTTCCAGTATTTGGGTCTCTGTGCCTCCTCAGAACCTGAGGAGGCTGCTCTGCTCACAGGAGCATATGGTTGGCTCTCTACTCCCTGTACCTCCACCTATCAATTCTCAATCCATGCTGCTCAGGAGCCACTGTATACATATCCCAAATGCTTCCAACCACTTGCCAATTTCCCTGTATGCTTAAGCTTTAGTGCCTACTGTGAAAGTTGGCTCAATAACATACCCTGTCACCTCCCCTGCCTCACTTCTCTCATTGCCTACTGATGTTTCTTTATCTTACAAATAAACCACTTATAGTCATTATCTCTGGGTTTGCTTAGGGAGAATCCAATCTGAGACAAGGACAAAGGGCACCTGAGAAAAACTGCTCTAAGTTAGGACCAACTGGGTTCCCCTCTATAAAAGCATTCTGGGGAGCAGAATGAGGAAGTGAAAGACATAATCTTCCAGCACTATTAATACTAAAATTTACATTTTCTCTTTTTTTTTTTCTGGGGGGGGTGCATTTACCAGGGACTGAACATGACAACTGAGCCACATCCCCAGCCTTATTTTGTATTTTATTTAGAGACAGGGTCTCACTGAGTTGCTTAGCACCTCGCTTTTGCTGAGGCTGGTTTTGAACTTGCAATCCTCCTGCCTCAGTCTCCCAAGTTGCTTGGATTATAGGTGTGTGCCACTGTACCTGGCAAAATTTACATTCTTGCATTGAGTTTATTCAGCCTCTTCACCCGTCTGACAAGTGGCAACACAGCCACACAATATTCTCAAAACAATTTTAAAAGATCAATATCTTTAGCAAGCCCTAAAAATTATTATAGGCCCCCAGAAAACATTATGATTCATAAAATCAATTGAAACTCTTTTTCAGCTTTTATCCCATTTTAAAATATTTTAACATTACATAGATACTAAGGAGGGCCCATCCCATTTCTATAAAGAAGGAGAAATCTTAGTAAAATTTGGGCAAAATACCCACCTCTCCCACACTATTTTACTTTGTGTCACTTTCTGAAATTCTACCAATTTGGAATTCATTTGCATTAAGTGTACACTTCTCAGGGGGAAATATCCCTGGCACTTTGGGGTGTGTGGGCAAAGCACTATGGACACCATTCTCCTACGATTTATCTGAGGTTGTCCTACAAAGAAGGTAAAGATCTGATACCTGAATGCAGAAGCATTAACAGGAGATGAGTGGTTCCATCATATCTAAGGTCACTATCAGACACTGGCATAGAAAAAAGCAGCAGAAAGAAATGAGAAGACACAAAGGACCAACATGCCCTACTTGAACCTATGCTTAGTGGCCAGTCTACTGAACTACTGGTATCACTGGCTGAGTTACTGACACCACTGTCTAGTTTTATGGACACACAATAAGCACTTGACTTTAGACTCAGGGTGATGGTTACAGAACAGTTTTTCATAGAACTCTTGTCTTTCACAACTGTAGCTACATGATCTGTTCTTTTAAGCCATTAGCAGAATTACTTTAATTATTAATTTTAATAAATATAATTTAATTATTATTTTATGAAAGTAAGAGGACATTTGCTATTATGTCCTTTATTCAGTTGGGAAGGTAAAAATTCCCTGTTTTGTCTACCGCTTTTCTCTGGTAGACACTTTTCTCACTTTTCTCTGTGAAATCTCCAAAAAGTGGTTTTTGGAATTTAAGCATTCTACCTGAATACTAGTAAGAGACAAAACTGAAATGCTGTAGCTAAAACTTGCTATGGATTGAGCACAGTTAACCCCCAGAGCTTGGTTGCTAAACACCCTTCCCTGCTCAGAGCAACCATAGCTCTCTAGGTAAAAGGCAATATCTATTTCTAAGACAGGGAAAATATTAGGCAACCTGAAATATCTTGCTATGTTTAAAGAAAAGAAGGCTTGGAATTTAAGGGGTTTTGTCAAAAGGACACAGGAGCCAATCTAAAGAGATTCCCATTGGCTGGAAGTGTAGCTCAGTGGTAGAACGTGAGGTTGGCATACACAAAACGCTGGTTCCATAACCAGCACCCTAAAAACAGACTCCCACTGGCCAAGTTTGGGACAACAGGAGCAACAAAAAATAATTATAGTAATTGATAATATACTGATTAAGGAATTCATAAGTCCACTGTGATATTTTTTAAAAAAGAAAGAGAATAYGTAGAGGGAGGGAAGAAAATGCTCTTTGTTATAGAAAAGTAAGCCACCAGAAGATAAAAACAGAAAAATCATCATTTCACAATCTCCACTGTAATAATTGATTCAGGCAAGATTTATTAACAGATCCCAAAATCACTAGATAAAATTCTAGTGATGAACACGATAGTCCAGTGATGCCAAAACATTACTCCACAGATAATTTACTACTTACAAAGCTGAACAATGGAGATCACATTTAGAGATCACTATCTTGCCCAGAAGATCAAAGTCAGCATCACTCAGGTGGGACTATCTTATATCATGGGCTTCCTTATGGCATGTTGTGGTAAGTATAATATTGCCTGTAACTACTTAAATTAATTAAAATTAACAGAATTAAAAATACAGTCCTCAGTGTCATGATCCACATTCTAATGGCTCAGAAGCCACATATGGCTAGTAGCCATTGAATTAGCATTAGCATAGATATAGAACATTTCTATCTGCAGAAATTTTAGTTGGGTAGTGCTGGTGTCAACCACATTTCCATTTACAGTAAAAATGGGGAAATTCACAATGGTCAGTAGCTGACCTACTTTCAAAATACCCAATGTCATGGAAAAAGAAAAAATGTTAAGTGGAAGGCCATAGGAGATGAAATCCGATTTAAAAAATTAAAAAAATAACAACACAATACAACAAATAATAGTGGGCTTATAGTCTGGAAATATAAGGTACTTTTGGGGAGAAATGGGGAAATTTGAATATGAACTATATATATTAAATCATATTATGGAATTCTTATTAATTTTCTTATATAACAATGCATTATGATTATGTAGGAGCCCACCCTTATTTTCAGGAGATCCACACTCCAGTGCTCAGGAGAAAAGTGTCATGATATATGCAACAGACTTGCAATGGCTCAAAGAAAAAAAAAATACAAATGGCATGCAAAAAGCAATATAGCCAATATTTAAATTGTTGCATCTAAGTAGATAATATATAAGTGCTCATTAAAAGAACTTTTATAATTTTCTGTATATTTGAAATTTCTGCAATAAAATTAAGCTAGGGAAAATCTGCTAGAGCAAAAAGAAAGGGAAATACATAAGCCAATTTTTCCTGTAACTAGTGTTTATTTGGTTAATTTGGGTATCATGCCTAATCAGGGAAAATAGTAAGGAAGAATGCCTCTTTCCTGGCTTGCCACACTTAGCATAATTTGTGGAGCAGCAGGAAGCCAAATACTGGAGAAGAATAAGGAGCCCAAATCAGAGATGGTCTCAGAAAGCAGTTGCTCTAGGTCACATAGCCAAGGAGCATGAAAGAATCCTCAGGGCCATTTCCACCCCTCAGGGCTTCCCAAGTGCACATTTGACCTGAAAGAGCTCAGACCACATAAAAATGATTTTTTTTTTAAGAAGGAAGAAATTTCTAAAGGAAACCCTAATGCTGCTTACTTACATTCAATGATTGCTTCAATAAATACCACGTTAGACCCTATACCTTTTACTGACTAGAGACCTTGCCTATGTTGTAAATATTCCATTAATTCTTCAACTACAGTAGGAATATTAGAAAATATAACTTAAAGGTTTAAGATCAATATTGGTCATGTGATAATTTACAGAAAAAAGCTGATACTTAGTCTTCAACACAAACAGCTGAACATTAGTGACTGCCACTAATCTGAAAAAGATTTTGGCTGAGTGCAGTGATGTAAGCCTGTATTCCCAGTGGCTTGGAGCAACTTAGTAAGTTAGCAAAACCCTGTCTTAAAATAACAAAATAAAATAAAATAATAAAAGGGTTGGGGACATGGCACAGTATACTACACTATACTACAAAATATACACTATACTACAAAAGATCAGGGTTAAGTGCCCCTGGGTTCAATCTCCAGTACAAAAAAACAAAAAAAAAAAATTTAAAAAACAGTACAAAACAAGACATCACCTTCAGTTCTTGAAGCTTCTCTATATTTGTGGTAAAGTGTCCAACATGAGCTTTAGCACACTCATATCGTTTTAAATATTCTTGGTTTCGAGTACGAGCCTTCTTTTCAGATTCACATATTTCCTTCAGGTATTTCTTTAGTTTTACATATTTCAGCTTAACTCTGAAAAAAGATGTTTTTAACAACAGAGTTAGACTTTGACTCAACCTAAGCAGAAGAGTATTCTTTAATAAAACTGTTGATGAGAAAATCAAATCTAAGATATTTTACCCAAACAATAAAATCCAAAGGACAGAACGTATATATTTTTTAGGGAAAATTAATATGATGCCACTAAGATACTGTGTTGGTTACATCATGGCAAAAACTCTCCTGAGAAACGTATATAAGAACACATGATAATAGTGTTTATTATAAAGATTTATATGGATTTATTTCTCAAAATTAAATGTGATTTCAGCAGTGGTATCTACATGACCATTTTTAAGATACACAACCTACAGACGTCTTTATAAAACAATGTAAAAACTATTTGCTCACATGGAAACAGAATCAAACGATAAACCATAATCCAAAAAAATGCAGAAATTTTTAAATACCAGAAAAGCTTCATTTATATTACATAAAAATATTTTTAGACATTACAACATTATTATTAAAGTATTCTCTAATAATATATGGACTATGTGGAAAAAAACCCCACAGCTTACTCTCCATGGTACTGACACTGCTAATTCTGATTCTTAATGCTTCACAAATATTTAAATTATAAAAGAGCACCGATTGTGCAGTATTTATGTTGTTGCCTCAAAAAACTATTCAATACTTTTTCATCAAGCAAAAATAGTTTAAAAAGTCACAAACATATTCATTCTCAAAACACCAATTTGCAAAGATGGGGGAAGGTTTCCAAAATTAATTAATCATAGACCTTAAACCTTTAACCCTATCTCTCTCTCAATTTGTTTCTCAATAAGAACAGTGAGAGAGAGAGAGAGAGAAAGAAAGAAAGGATGGAGGGAGGAATTCAGTGACCACTTACTAAATGTGGGCTTTGTGTTGGGACTATATATGCATTATCTCATTTAAATCTTACAATAGTCTCATGTGGGAGCTATCATCTTTATATGGGAAATGGAAAACAGATTATACTGAAAGGGTAAAGTTTCTAAACTGGAAAGCTTGAATGTAAAAGATTAGGTATTATTAAGTTCCTCTGTTACACCCAGAACTTGGAATTCCTGAGATAGTTAAAACAACGCCCTACTGGCCATTTAGCCTAGGGCCCTGTGCAGTTTGTCACAGGGCCCGAACCAATCAGTTTGAATGTGTAACCCGCTTACGAATGACCAATCACCCCCGCCCGACCTGTTCCCGCCAATCACGTCTCAGAGTTGTTGTTCAATTTCCCCGCGCCTCATGATGATTTGTTCTGATGTATGCAAAGCCCACCGCCCTCTCCAAAAAGTGTACTTAAGCTCCACCTGACCTCTGTTCTGGGCTCTGAGCTGCGCTCCCTTCTTGAGTGGGCACAGAGTCCCAGCGCGCTGGAATGGATCCCCAATAAATCCCCTTTTGCCAATTGCATGGAAAAAAAAAAAAAACAAACCTTTAACCCTAAACCAACAATTTTCAAGAAATTATTGTGCTAATAATGCTGTGCTCTGGCTATGGTCGGATGTCTCCATTTTTCTTACTGAATAAAAAGTTTATTTTTATTGCTGCTGTATTTTTGACAGTAATAGAGGCAGAACCTAACCTACTGTCTTTCATACTCAAGCATATTAGTAAGCTGGTGGTGGTATCCAGTGTCTACCTGGAGTAAGTACAATAGTAACCATGCCTTCTGCCACCCAATACTCTTCAAAGCTGATTAAATAAGTAAGTCATCCATCCATCCATGTAATCATTCATAGATGCAGCTGCAGTCAATAAGAAAACAAACAACTAAAAACAGTGTGATAAATGCTATGAGGCAAACTAAAGAAATTTTTCTAGACCAAGCAATCTGACCTAGTTGAAAGGGCAGGGAGGCCTTCCCAGTGTAAATAAGTTTTCAGCTAAGACCTGAAAGATGAATAAAAGTAAACCCAAACTGAGGAAAAGCAAGAATGAAGAGATGTAGAGGAAAACACTCCAGGCAGAGGCAACAGCATGTTGAAAAGCACAAAAGCAATAAATAGGAAATAATGAGGATATTAACAAAAATACAATAAAAATAAAATTATTAACTCTACCTCTGGGTCAGTGTTTTAAGGCACTTTACATATTAACTCATTGAGTGCTCATAAGTATCACTATTCCCATTTGACAGATGTAGTCACAGAATACTGAAATAATCTCTCAAGGTCACTTGACTAAGAAAGAAGTGGAGAGTCTCAAATTTAACTAAGCACTTGCCAATAGAGCCTGCTGATTACACTTATACTACAAAAAATCTTATAGTGCTTAAGATATTGAAGTTTCAGTTAGTGCAGAATTTTGGGGAAGGGGGAAAAGAGATGATGAAAATGAAATATGGAGGGACAACAGAGAATCCCTCAGCTGCAGCAACCTAATAGCATTAGCCTCAGCTATCCACATACTTCTCTCACACTCACTTTCCTATACTACCATACCAAGAAGCTGCCCAAGAACAGACTGTATTCTGTTTTCTGTCTGCTCCTGTAACCATCAGTGAGAAAAATGGCACTGCACAGATCTCTTCAGACTTGGGCCCACTCTTGATGCCATGACATTCTCAATACTATTTCTTCCAGAGACAAGACAAGCCTATGGTCTCTTTTCCAGAGAGAATGGTCATCTCTTCCAGTCAAGGATGTCTACCTTGACTGGAAACCTTAGAAATACTAAATTTTAAAACCAAAGAATAATTTTGAAGATAAGAAAATAAATGGACTTAATGGTGATTTGGTTTTAAAGAATTCTTAGACTTCTTTTTTAGATGAGATCTTTTCATTTTTCACTCTTAGTGTGGCATGGATAAATCACAAGTTTAATGCTATTATAGTCAGAAACTCTTCATATGAATTATATAGGAGATAACGCTATCCATTTGGCTTAAGGATGAAGTTTAATAAAATTAAACATTAAAAATATATTCTTAACATATATTACATGTATATGCATATATATATATATATACACACACATACATATATATTTCCTACTGCTTATAATACTTTTAATAGTAATTCTCATATATCCATAAACAAACGAGATACTAGGTAATCCTGCCTATTGCAGTTTTCTTCAAAATTTGGCTATTATAGTTATATGCCTTAACCATTATAGGAGCTCAATATGTTTAAACTGTAATAAAAAAGATAAGACTATATACTGTATCTCACATTAAAATACTTATGCAAGACAGTCTTGAAATAACACAAATACCAAATGATTAAAATAATTTTTATTGATAGTGATTATATTAAATTGCAGCATTCACTTCAAATCATTACAAATACAGAATTTATGACATATTAGGGTTTAAATTTTGATTTAAAATTTAAACATATTTACATATGATGTCATGGCATCATATGTAAATTGGCTCGAAAAATGTCACCGCTATCATCTCTTACCTGCATATATCAGACTGATTATATTCACAAAGTTTCTTTTCCAGGTCCAACCTCTTCTTTTCACTATTATACGAAAAGAAAACATTGCATAAATCATTACATTGATAAGTAATAAACTGATAAATTTAGACCATGATCATCTTCAAAATCATATCACTTTGAGAGACTACTTCTCTTGGTATTTCTAAGAAGAAAATGCCAAATGTGTTTGAAATACAAAGACACAAAAATATTTACCACTCACCAGGGAAKTCTAAAAAACAAAAGACACAAATATGAAGCAAAAAGATTTTCGAAATCAGGGGGGAAAGTATATCCTGAAAAAAGGCTGGGAAGCAAGTTCATTAATTTGGCAAGCATTTCTTGCATGCCTGTGCTAAGTCAGGTACTATTCTAAGTCTGAAGACTAACATGGCTAGCCAAAGGCCCTGTCCTAAGGCAGGTGACATATCAGGGGAAGGATAAATAACAAAGAAGATAAATCAGTAAAATATGGCCAGTTTTCTCTGAGTCAGCAGCATTTGAACATAGGCCTGGATAACGATTCTTCTCCAAATCCACTTTGGACTGAAGATTGGAAGCTTCCTCTGCCCCAATCAGCAAAGCTGGGGCATAGCCAAATGGCTGAGTTCAGAAGAGGATTCTGAAAAGCAAATCTGGCTTCACATTTGATGAAGAGCAAGATGCTTAACACTTATCACTTCAAATTTCAGGAAATATCTTTTTATAACTTTGTAATGTCACCATTACTTGTCAGCTATTTTTTGGGGGGCGTGTACTGGGGATTGAACACAGGGGCATTCAACCACTGAGCATCCCCAGCCCTATTTTGCATTTTATTTAGAGACAGAGTCTTGGGCATTATGTAAAATTGTGGATGTGTAACCGACGTGATTCTGCAATCTGCATTTGGGGTAAAATTGGGAGTTCATAACCCACTTCAATCTAATGTATGAAATATGATATGTCAAGAGCTTTGTAATGTTGTGAACAACCAATAAAAATTAAAAAAAGAAAAAAAAAAGAGACAGAGTCTTACAGATGTTGCTTAGCGCCTTGCTTTTGCTGAAGCTGGCTTTGAACTTGCAATCCTCCTGCCTCAGCCTCCTGAGCTGCTGGGATTACAGGCATGCACCACCATGCCCAGCTTGTCAGCTCCTATTAATAGACTTAATCTGTGATGGTCAGGTGAGTGCTTGCAGTGAACTAGAGGAGGAAGCCTGGGGAAGAAGCTGGAGAAACTGGGTAGCAAAGGTGGCAATAGTAGCCAAAACCATGAGGCTGGTGGTTTTTGGCAGGTTCAACCTTAACTAATGGCTATTAAGACAAATTCAACATTAGAAATTTTAATTAATCACTTTTCTCCCTTCAAAGAGTTCATAAATCAGTTGAGTACTTTGATCATGAGGAATGAACTGTCATGTATAACTAAAAGGAACAACTATAAAAAGAATGAATCATTGGGTAGTATGGGCAATTTGTCATTAAATTAGTAGGCCAGAAAGACTTTTAAGTACATCTATGAGGGCTGGGGATGTGGCTCAAGCGGTAGCACGCTTGCCTGGCATGCATGTGGCCCGGGTTCGAGCCTCAGCACCACATACCAACAAAGATGTAGTGTCCGCCGAGAACTAAAAAATAAATATTAAAAATTCTCTCTCTCTCACTCTCTCTCCTCTCTCACTCTCTCTTAAAAAAAAAAAAAAAGTGCATCTATGACCCCGTGCCACCAATGCAATGCTTTATTTCTGTGGTATTCTTGACAAAAATGAATGACTGTGATATGCTCATGAGGCATCAGATGGATCCAGCTTGAGAGTCACTTTCTAGAGCAAATATTGAACTCTTTGAAATTATCAAAAACATGAAAAAGGGAAAAACTGAGGAATCATTTCAGATTGGAAATGGCTAAAGAGACATGGTAAACAAAATGTAATCCAGTAGTCCTAACATACATTGTTAGGACTACTGGTAAAATCTGCTGGTAATCTGTAGACTGGTAGATCAAGAATGAATCCTGACTGGGAAGGTTGTATGGTGATTATATACAAAAAGTGTCATTGTTTTATGGAAATATACACTAGAGATTTTAGGAGTAATGGGGCATCCTATCTGTCAAATGGTTTTAAAAAGACTAATGATTTTAGATAGGTAGATAGAGAAAATGAAAATGTAATAAAACAGTAGTTGAAGAATCTGGGTAAGGGGAATATTAGAAGTCTTTGTCCCACATTTCCAACTTTTCTGTAATCTTGAATTTACTTTAAAGTAATTTAAAAGATTAATCATGGTATCTAGTGAAAAAAGATCACAATTTTTGGAAATCCATCACCTCTCAAGCAGCAAGTTCTTTTTAATAATGAAAGCAAAACTTCTTTTTTCCTGTCGTTTATTCAAGTAGATGCAGATACCTACTGGTCACACTCTCTATCAGAACATTTCACATACTAAAAAACCAAAATCAAACACCTCTTGGTCCTCTATTTTAGGCAAAAATGCTGCTAATCTTATCACTGGCCTATTTTCTAAACCCCTCATCCATGCTGCAGCACCTCTGAATGCTAAGTTATTCGCATCTGTTTTAGATGTAAGACTTAAAGTAGATTGTTATCCCAGTAAAAAGGCAGGGAAAAGCCTATTGTTGGATTACCTTATAATTCCTACATATTAAGTTTCTACTACAGAATCCTGYCCTGGGATACTTAAATAGTCCTCATTTTTAGTCCATTATACCCCTTCCTCATCTGGATCTTGTGAAGTTTTACACAGCTGGATAATCCTTATATGTCTGAGTTTCATCCTTTTGCTTCAACAGCACAACTCTCCATTGTCTTCAACTTTATTCAACTAAGATCTGTGTCAATTTCTAGACTATTATGATATGTCACCTTGAATCAATATTGGCAGAGAAAAAACTGGAACTAATTAATGGGCCTTTTAAAAAGATGTTTTTATATACAATAATTCTAAGAGTCGATTCTACTTATGTTTCTACCATGTTTATGGGCAGGGCAGTATACATACTATAACAAGTTACTCCATTAGACTCTTCTAGATTCAATTATTGACTTTTACCACAATGAAAAGAAAATAGTGTATAAACACAAGAAAACATTCAGATAATAAAATTCCATCTATGGGAGAATACAGATAAGATGACTTGGGCTTGAAACATGGCAGTTACAAGGGAAAAGCATGATTATTAGATCAGGTAACATTTCAATGACCTCCTCTAAAGGGGCTGAAAAAGAATAAAAGGTGGGTTTTTTGTTGTTGTTGTTCATTTGTTTTTTGTCTATTTTTTAATCTTCCACTCTCAAGAAGTTTCTAAATTTAAGCATCTGACTACTTCCCAGCTTACAACTTTTGAAATTACTAGAATTTWAAGAGACAATGAACCCTGTAGTCAATGGGATTGATTTTTAGGAAAAAGTACACCCAAATATTCAAATAAGACATGGACAATGATATTCTTTATGTATTGTTTTGCAAAATTAGAGCTTACAATTAAAAAAAAAAAACTTTCAAACCCATTATAGTAGAAAAAAAATTGTGGCTCTAATAGTCAAGTCCCCTTATTTCTAGAAAAGAATCAAGGTTCAGAAAGGCCAAATGACCTTCTCAAGATCTCAAAACTGGTCATGGATTAGAATTCGGATTTCCACATTTTTACCGTAGCTTTCTATGTATTTAAAGTTATTTGCTTCTATTTTGTGTGTACTGTGTATTAATTAGAATTAGTAATGGATTCTTCAAATGAAAAAATGAATACACACAGCAATAGATATATACTAAATTAGGAGTAAAACATGAATCCAAAAACAGAAGTGTGAATAGGCCATAAAATTTGACTTGAATTTCTCAATTTCAACAGCCTCACCTTGCTTAATAATTAAAGGAATAAGTGTTAAACATAAAGTGGGCAATTATTTAACAGTTATTGTACCATAAAGACTATAAACAACCATGTATTCCTAGTATAGGAATCAAAAATAACTCACAGTTAACTTAGTTCAGAAAGAAAACCATTTAAATCAGTAACATTTTAAGATCAAATCTTTGGCTAAGACACAAATAGCTAAAAACCTGGGATAGCTAAGCCACCCTTCAAATAGAATAGACACGAAGTCAAAAAAACACTTTACATGTACTGAAACACGTTAACTTGTTTTTTTAATTATCAGGTATATGCAGACACTTAAGATCATCTTGGAAATATCATAGGATCCATTCTACCTGGTTGGCTGGAAAATGGTCATTATTTAGTAACAATATGTGGCTGCTCAGTTCTATTTAAGATATTCCTAACTCCTAGACATAGCTGGTTGAACTTTGTGATTTCTTTCATAAATTCAACAAATATTTATCAAGGGCCTCCTTCGCYACATTTCCTCTACTGTGAGCTTAAAATTCAGCTAGATATGGTTCCTGTGCCCCTAGAATTCTTAGTCTAGGCAACAAGAACTTAAGCCTCCATGAAGAGTGCTATAGGAATGCTGAGGGTGCAAAAAATGTGTTGGGGCAGGGAAGGTTCTATAGGGAACAATTTTTTTTTTTTTTGATTTGCAGATGAAGAAGATCCTGGAGTAGGCGATTGACAGTATGTTAGGGAGAAATTTGGATGTTCAAAAGAAGATAAAATATAATGAGGACAATTAAGGAGGCCTGTTGTAGATGCTCTGTAAAATAACTGACAAAAATTAAATCCAGCATAAGATGAATGCAATTCATTTTCAAAATCACTTCTGCCTTTACCTTACATGTAATTACTGTACTGTTATCATTTTAGAATTGTGACATACGCAGCTCTCCCGTTTACTAGAATGGTTTTATAACTTTTAATACTCATTAAACGTTTTGTTTATCAAGAGATCCAAAAATCTATTTCCTTTCTTGTCAACTAATGAGATTTCTAACTCCAATTAATTTAGTAGCTAAATAAGAGTTCCAACAACTTATCTTTCATTTGGTTATTAATAGTCAATTGCTTCATAATTTTCCCTCTTTATGCACTCTTAGATGTAACTGTTTTCGATGGTTCTCATCTTTCATGTCTTAATCAAAGGCAATACGAATCCTCTGGAAGCTGAACTTCTCCTGCTAGAAATTTCATCTTTTTCCTGGATATCTAGCTAGGCCCAGCTTCCCCCCCCCCCCAAAAAAAAGTCTCCAGCATTTGAATAGGGCATATGTTTGACAAACACTCTCTCTCTCCAGCCTGCGTTCCTGGACCTGTCATCATTGATGCAGTGCAGCTGTCAAGGTGGGATGACAATTTGAAGAGAGAGTGAGGAGGGGGCATGTAGAAGGGGGCTAGAGGAATTCATAAGACTTGATGGAGAGTGACAGGCAGGAGAACTCCCACTCTCACTTAWKGGCAAATCCAGAGTCACTTATAGCSGAATCCTCAAGGGGGGACCCGGCTTTAGTTTCTGTAGGGGGAGGGGTGTCTCACCTATCTCCGMGCGCACCACTTACACAAGAGGTATTTCTGGCAAACTTTGAACTCCAGGCTCCACTCGGAGCTTCTGGGGCGTCGCAGGCGGACTCCAGGCCCAGGTGAACCGCAAGTAGGGGAAAATGGTAAGGAACAGAGGGCAGGGCACACAGAAGACCCTCAGAGGCGCGGGCCCACTCCCCGCCCTCTCCCATGGTCTCCCTACCTGTCCCGTAGCCCATGCTGAAGGTGGCCCACCCTCTCGTAGTAGTCGGGGCTCGCCAGGGGTGCTGACGAGGCGGGGGCCCGGTGCATGTTGCCGCCACTTCACCCGCCCTCTTCGCCTCGCCGCTGGGCAGCGGAAGGGTCTCGGTTGCCCGAGGAGACCGCCCCACCATGCACTGCGGGTAAACACGCGGCCAGGCCTCCTGCAGGGGGCGGAGCTACGTGGGGCGGGGCGAGATGCCGAGCGGGGCGGGGCGGGGCGTCGTAGAGGGCGAAGGCAGGACGTCACGGAAAGGCGGGGCAGAGGTCTTGCGAGAGCCGWACTAGTGCGGGGAGGTGGTGTATGCAGATCCCACGGCCTCTGAGCCCACGGGCGGAGACTACAGGCAGATGGCTGGGTAAGCGGCCCTGAGTCCTGGGTGTGCTTCCCTCTTCTCCCCCGTGTTTCCCTTGCCTCATCCTTCGGGATTTGCACAAATTGCGTTACAAAATGCATTCTCTCGCTTCCTTCCTCTTGCCCTCCCTCCTTTTTTCTCAGGATTTGCTGAGAGCCAGGCACTGTGGTAAGCTTGTTTCCCCACCAGCACCTAAAAGCAAAACAAATACCACACAAAAAACAATCCCAAATACTGCTGTGTTCAACCCCTTACTTGAAAATCCACGCTGCCTCTAAGGATGTGTTTAGTGCTGCAGGTGCTCATGGGTGGAGAGGGAAAGGTTGTTAACTAGTTGCTTGGGAAACAGACATTTATTTGTGCAGACCTCTCTGAAGGACAATATTCCGGACATCCTGTAGAATCCTCCAGCAGAAGCTGTGGACTCAGACAGCCTGGGCTCAGATCTCTTCTTCCGCTACCAGGCTGTGGCCACCTGCAATTACCTTCTTCACTGAAGCCCAGGTTTCCTTATACGTAAAATGATGAGGCTGTTACAGCAGGATTCATTTAAAATTAGATTAGTTAATATGTGTTATTGATTTGTTTTTGTTTTTGTTTGGCTGTGGGGGAGGAGACGTACCGCGGATTGAACTCAGGGGCACTCGACCACTGAGTAACATCCCCAGCCCTATTTTGTATTTTATTTAGAGACAGAGTCTCACTGAGTTAAATAGCATCTCGATTTTGCTGAGGCTGGCTTTGAACTTGTGATCCTCCTGCCTCAGCCTCCGGAGCTACTGGATTATCGGCGTGATGGCACATGCCTGGCAGTGTGTTATTGTTAATAAGAGGGCCCAGCACTTAGGAAGCATTAGCTTTTACAACACCATCATCAACATGACAAAAAGCTTCCTGAAGAAAGGCAACCATATTCTAAAATCCACTGGGCAGAAAAAAAAAAAAAGAAACTTTAATCCCTTATTGTTCACTTCTTTTGGTGATTCAGTTATTAATTTCACTTATGTGCAACTTGTGACTTACACTAGTAAATTGATCATTAGAACAGGAGACACTCAACAGTCAAGAATATAAAATCATAATATTACTTAGCCTTTCTTTCACACTCTGGTGGTCCAGAGCAAGAATAGGGATGAAGGTCCTCCTACCATTTGCCTAAATATGAACAGTTACAAATCAAGATAATAAACTAAGTAAAAAAGGATCTCTTCTCATACATTGACCCATATGCTCTCACAAAATCCTGGAAATCCAGGATGGAATTTCATTCTGACTCCTTCCCTAGTCTACTCCCTAATTTCTCACCCCAAGCTCAGTCTTGCACCATGAAGGACCTCACACAGGGGCAAAGATATGTGTGCCTTTCCTGCTCCCCACACCCACAAATCCCAGCTGTTTACATGCCTACCTTCTCTTGGCCTAAGGGTGAACTTCAGGTTGAACTTCAGTGAACCATGAAAGAGGGTTTTTGGTGTTTTTTTTTGTTTTGTTTTTTTTTTTTTTTTTTTTTGTAGTTGTAGATGGACAGCATGCTTTTGTTTTTTATTTTTATGTGATGCTGAGGATCGAACCCAGTGCCTCACATGTGCTAGGCAAGCACTCTGCCATTCAGCTACAGCCCCAGCCCAGGAAAGGTTTTGGAAGGCCTTGGAAAGTAGCTTCTTTAAGCAGGAATCAGGGAGTGGATACCTGTAACGTGTCCTACAAGGGAATATGAGTGTGTAAGCTTCTGATGGCATGTCCTCTGACCCTGGAGCCTCCTTGCTTTGTTCAAATAAGTAGCCAGAGGAGAGTCAGAACAGGCTTATAATATACAGAAGCTAAGGGCACKGTCCTCTTGCCCAGGTCTAAGGGTAGCGATGATGTAACTTTATTTAGTTGCTATATGAAATCATTGTATCAAATTGATTCTGAGGTAGTATACAACTGTTGATTTTATTGATTTTAGTGTGACCAAAATTTTACTAGTAACCCTCACCAAAAAAATATGCATTACATTTTTAGGATATTTTATTTAGGTCCACCCCCATTCAGGCTAGCTTTCATCTCAGGGGGAGATGAAATTCCCAAACAATATAGCTATTTTATAATTATTTTCAGTAAGTAGCATAGAGGAAGCAGATGATACAGATTTAGTATCATTTATTAGGATGATATTAGCCATTTATTAGGCCATTTTAGGAGAGTCTAAAATTAAATATAATTCAATAATAAATASATAATTCAAAATAATGACAATTTGCATTGTATCGTTGATTCATTAATACCATGAAAATCTAGATGGAGGACACCCTCTACTAACAACACATAGTGAATGAAATATTTTTAATGTTTTTATGTTAAAAATGTGCATTCTAAATGGTGACAGACTTTAATAATTTAGAGTTCTTCACTTTGAATATTTAATTTGCTGGGGAAATCTCTTTTAGTATTTTTCTTCAGGTTTTTTTTTTTTTTTTTTTTTTTTTTTCAAAGCTGATTACTGTAAGCAGCTCTGCTTATAGCCTACCTGGACTGTGAGCCATAATCTGCTAGATTGTCAAGGCTTCCTATAAGACTCATGATGTCTTGGCTAGAGACGAGGAGGAGGAGGAGGAGTCTATCCTCACCCCCTTATATTAAAAAGGAGAAAAAAGGTTCTGGAAGAGTAAGGGAGTTGGCCAAGGTCATATAGCTGGTGATCTGTATAAAAATTCTAGTTCAAGATATGTGTCCCTGATAGCCTTATTAAGCAAACAGCAAGGGAAACCCTTGTTTCAGCTCAGTAATCATGTGATCTTATGGTGAACCACATGAAATTGTCATTTTTGAAACTCAAAAACAATTAAATTAATGAATGAAAAAGTTGGCTTTAGAGATATATTAAAATTAGAATTTTACATTTTAAAATGCATTTACCATGTACTTTTCTCCCCCCTGCCACTAAATCCTGTATATCTGAGTCAACAAATTGGATATTATATTAATTTGCTAAGGCTGCCATATCAGAGCACCACAGATTAGATGGCTTAAACAAGACGATTTATTGTGTCACAGTTCTGAGAGCTAAAGAGCAAGGTCAGGATATCTTCAGGGTTGGTTCTTTCTGAGGGCTGATGAAGAAGAATCTGCTCCATACCTCTCTCCTATCTGCTGGTAGTTTTCAGGTAATCCTTGGTGTTCCCTTGGTTTATAAGCACATCCCCTGCCTTGATGTTCACATAATGTTCTTCCTCTGTGTAAGGGCACCAATCATGTTAGATTAAGGGCCCACCTTCCTCCATTATGTTCTCATTTTAACTAATTACATCTGCAATAACCCTATTTCCAAATAAGGTCATATTCTGAGATATTGAGAGTTAGGACTTCAACATGTGTATTTTAGAGGGGATGCGATTGAAGTCATAAGAGATATGGGAAAATATTTCATCTTTTAATCACTACTGTATCCTATGCTTTGGAAGTAGAGTTATGATATCATATATATCTGTGTATGTAACTTTTTCTGCCATTGAGGACTTATACTGATACAAGCATTATTGCTTCATTTAAACCTATGACATTCCTTTAAAGGATCATAATATTAAACAACTGTCCTAAGATCACATTACGAGTGTGTTGTCAAGCTAATGCTAGTGATAGGATTTGGACACAGACTTATTCCAGAGTCCATATCTCTTATCCTTCTTTTATTTAAATGTATTTTTCAGTTGTTGATAGACCTTTATTTTTATTTATTTATATGCGGTACTGAGGATTGAACCCAGTGCTTCACACATGCTACGCAAGTGCTTTACCACCGAGCTTCTTTTTTATTGTTGTTTTTTTTAGTTTTCGGCGGACACAACATCTTTGTTGGTATGTGGTGCTGAGGATCCAACCAGGCCGCATGCATGCCGGGCGAGCACGCTACCGCTTGAGCCTCATCCCCAGCCCCAACCCTAGCCTTCTCTTATCCTTCTTTTTATGATCTTGAAACTCATTAATTGACATTTTTAATTTCTTTTTTTAATATTTATTTTTTAGTTTTAGGTGGACACAATATCTTTGTTTTATTTTTATGTGGTAGTCAGAATAGAACCCCGTGCCTCATGCATGCTAGGCAAGCATGCTACCACTTGAGCCACATCCCCAGCCCTTTAATTTCTTTATGTGATAAATTAATCTGTTATCTATTGCTAATAACGAAGAACCACAGATTGGGTAAGTTTTAGAGAAAAGAGTTTTCTTTTGGCCTATGGTTGAGGAGGCTCAAAGTTTAGATATCTCCTTTGGTTTGGCTACTGCTGTTGGCCTTCTTGCTGGCAGGGTCCCAAGGTAGCACACAGCATCAGTTGACAAGAGACAAAGAGCACATATGTGAAAGTGTTTCTGTTGTGGTCTCTTTCTTTTTATAAAGCCACCAGAATTCAACCACAGGGGTACCACCTTAATGACTTTATCTAATACTGAGCACTTCCCAAAGGTCCCATATCTAAACATCTTAGTCAGATTGTTTCCACCCTCCTAATACTGCACAGTGGGGATGAACTTTCAATACATAAAAACTTGGAGGACAAATTCAAATCATATCCAAATAATTTCATATTATATGTAAAACGTATACTATGTGATCCTTAAGGTTTTTACATATAGGTGATTTATTGTTTGGAGAATAATATACATTAACATAGAATGCATTTTTCTACATACTATGATACAACATTATGTGTTCAATATTCTGTTTCATTTTTCTCCTTGAAGCTCAGAAAAACTATATTTTTCATTATCTCTAGCAGTTACATGGGTCTACATGATCAAGTTCGGCCAATGA